TGAGGCCCCTTTTTTGGTCCAATGCTTCCTAGCAACCTGAGTGTCTGTTTGTTAGTTTGCTTGTCACAAACTGTTATGATAAGTCCATGGAAACAGAGTACTTGGTGAATTATCCAATACCCTTGAAAACATAATGATAGGAGTAGTGGCCAAGTCCAGCAAAGGCAGGAGGCACCTTGCCAGGTTAATACCATCCAGATCCCGAGCATCCGTAGAGGGTGAGGTGCCCAAGAAGGGAGATGTGAGCAAGGTGCTCCCTGAGCCTTGGGGATGGTGCCTCCTCCAGCCTGCTCCCAGGCTGGGTACCCTCCCAGTGGGCTGCAGCAAGGGCTTTTCAGGCCTTGATTAAGGGTTTGCTTCAAAGCTCTGAACTGAGCTTGGGAACTCCTTCTCTGCTTGAGGTGCTGGTTCAACCATTCAGCATCACCCATTCTCCTGGCTTGGCTCCCTCTGATTCTTGGGGGACCCAGACTAGCAGGTTCCAGAAACCTTTCTTACAAGTTGCAAACTTGTTTCAGAGACTCATTCCCACCTACTTAAGTTGCTCCATTTTAACCAGCAACGATTAAATGATAATGAGGCTGGAAGGAAAGTATGCAGGACAGGGGCACTCCCTGGGAAGAGCAGAATCCAGTCCTTCTGTCACCTCATACTGTATTAAAAAACCACTTCAGGGACTGGACTCCAGTTTTTTGCTCTCCTGAGTCACAGCATTAAGTCACCAAGCCCAAGTTGTCTCTATGTGCTTTGCCTGGCCCTGTCAATGTTTAATGATGCCATCTGGGGCCCAACAGCTTCAATGGGAGAGAGTGAATTCATCCTCTTCCCCTCCCAAATAGCTTAGGGTCCAAGGTGTGCCTGTCCCTGAGGAATGGGGTGTGTGGGGACCGAAGATTTCTGTGCTCAGCACCAAAATGATTTGAGGTTTCAGCATGCTTTTTTTGTGACCTTTGATGCAACACTCTCCTTGAGCATGCTGGTGCCATGAGGCACCTCCTGTGAGGCACACAGCAGGACACTGACTCCCTTCATTGGGGCAGGACACAGATATTGGACCATCTTTGAAGATGGGACAGGCAACTCAAGAGGAGTACAGAGATCTTGCTAGATCATACAGAGAGAAAATCAGGAAGCCCAACTGAAACTCCACTTGGCCACTGACATAAGGGACAACAAAAAAGTTTTTAAAAATACATCAACAATAAAAAAGAGCCAGGGAGAATCTCCATCCCTTACTGGATGCAGGTGGGTTGCAACCAAGGATGAAGAAAAGGCTGAGATATGAGGACTTCATCTTTAGTAGCCAAACTAGCTTCCCTCAGGATGTTCAGCCTCCTGAGCTGGAAGATAAGGACAAAGAGCAGAACAACCTCCCATAATCCTGGAGGAAGTAGTTAATGATCTGCTTCTGCACCCGGACATCCACGAGTCTATGGAGCCTGATGGGATCCACCCCAGAATACTGGGGAAGCTGGCAGGGAAGCTCACTAAGCCTCTCCCAATCACTTATCAACAATCCTGGTTGACAGAGGAGGTCCCAGATGACTGGAGGTTGGCTAATGTGACACCCATCTACAAGAATGGCCAGAAGGAGGACCTGGGGAGCTACAGGCCTGTCAGCCTGACCTCGGTACCAGGAAAGATCATGAAGAGACTCATCTTGAGTGAGCTCACATGGCAAGTGCAGGGCAGACAGGGGATCAGGGCCAGCCAGCATGGGTTTATGAAAGGGAGGTGTTGCTTGATCAACCTGATGGCTTTCTATGACCATGTCACCTGCCTATTGGATGAGGGGAAGGCTGTGGACATTATTTACCTAGCCTTACTAAGGCCTTTGACACCATTTCCCACAGCATTCTCCTGGAGAAGCTGGTGAATCATGGCATAGGCAAATATACTCTTCACTCAGTAAAAATCTGGCTGGCTGGATGGTCCCAGAGAGTTGTGGCAAATGGAGTCAAATCTAGTTGGCATCTGGTCACCTGTGTGTGTGTCCCTCAGGGCTCAGTTTTGGGTCCAGTTTTGTTCAATATCTTTATCAATGATCCGGAGGAGGAGATTGAGTGCATGCTCAGTAAGTCAGCAAATGACACCAAATTGGGTGGGAGCGTTGATCTTCTTGAGGGTAGGAAGGCTCTGCAGAGGGACCTGGAAAGGCTGGATTGATGGGCCCAGGCCAATTGCATGAAGTTCAACAAGGTCAAGTGTTGGGTCCTGCATTTTGGTCACAACAACCCCATGCAAAGCTACAGGCTTCGGGAAGAGTGGCTGGAAAGCTGCCCAGCAGAAAAGGACCTAGGAGTGCCAGTTGACAGCTGGATGAACATGAGTCAGCAGTGTGTCCAGGTGGCCAAGAAGGCAAATAGCATCCTGACCTGTATCAGGAATAGCGTGGATTAGGGAAGTGATTGTGCCCCTGTACTCAGCATGGGTGAGGCTGCACCTCAAGTACTGTGTTCATTTCTAGGCCCCTCATTATAAGAAGGATATTGAGGTGCCAGAGCACAACCAGAGGAGAGCTGCCAAGCTGGTGAAAGGTCTAGAGAACAAGTCATATGAGGAGCACCTGAGGGAACTGGGAATTTTTATTCCAAAGAAGAGGAGGCTGAGGGGAGACCTCATTGCCCTCTACAACTACCTGAGAGGAGGTTGCAGGGAATTGGGTGTTGGCCTCTTCTCCCAGGTGGATAATGGTAGCACCAGAGGAAATGGCCTGAACGTGCAGCAGGGGAGGTTTAGATAGGACATTAGGAAGAATTTCTCTACTGAAAGAGTGATCAGGCACTGGAACACTCTGCCCAGGGAGGTGGTGGAGTCACCATCCTAGGAGGTATTGAAGAAAGATGTAGATGTGGCACTTCAGGGCATGTTCTAGTGGCTGAGGTTGTGGGAGTATTTTGTGCTTTTTGGTGGGGGGTGTGTGTGGGTGTGTGTCTTTTGTGTTGTGTGTATGTTGGGTTTTTGTTTGGTTTTATTGAGGTTTTTTTTGTTGATTGTTGGACTCGGTGATCTCAGAGGTGCTTTCCAACCATGATGATTTTTTGATTCTGTGATAGGCCCAAAAGCTGTATCTTGCTAAAACAGACTCAGACAAAATGTCATAAAATGGAGATATTTATAAATACCCCAAACTCCTGTCCTAGCCTATTAGACTTTTGGAGAGCTTTTTATTCAGTATAGAAGTATTAGCCTCATAGTAACAAAGACACTAAGATAACTGTTATTTCCACAGGGATATAAAAACCAATATATTCTTGAATCTGTTTAAAACTTTCCTAAAATAATATTTGCTTGTACTGAGAGTGGCATATTCCCAGGACATGATGTAGTGAGGTGTGCAGGCCCTCTTGGCACTCTCTGGGACTAACCCACGTAATTCACTTGTAGTTTTGACAACCATGAGTGATGCACCTTTCCCACACTCGTGCTGTAAAAACATGAATACTATTCCAGTCTGTATTTTCTATCTTGCAGACTTGTGCAAAGCTTTTACTTAAGGTTATGAAATGTACAGTGTAAACTCCTGCAGCTGACTGTTTATAAATGGGCTAGTTGTTGATTGGGTGGCATGATCTTTCATGCCTCAAGTTCATTTTTTGTTTTATTTTCATGTTACTCTATTTTATTAAAAAATAAAATTAAAAATAATAAAGGGTCTTTGCCATTTTCTGAAATTATTTCCTTGCTCATTTTAAAAGCAGCTTGTTTTGTACAGCTGTGTTGCCTCTGCTGTGTTGGGTATAGATGTAATATTTGCTACAGGGATAATAGACAACACCAATATGAACACTAGAAAAGCATGAAGTATTGGCAGGTCCATAAATCCTAAGCAATCGTTGCTTCCAAAGAGGCAGAGTTTGTAAGGGATTTTAATAAATGCCTGAACCTTTTCTTAGTCCTTAACTTGCTTCCCAAGCTCATGTGTAGAGTGTTGGAAGGGCAGGCAGGATCAAAATTGGTTCCCAAACCCTTCTGCCTGCCATGCTTTTGGGCTTGTGGGAGAGATGAGAAAATCTGAGAACCCCTCATGCCCACTGAAAACCTGTACCTTTTACAGCCCCTCTCTGTATCACAGTCTTATAAGCCTGCCTTGAAGGACAAACAAGTGCCCTGCCCCCATTTTACACCTGGTTTAGCAAATATTGGCAAGTATCATTAGAAACACAGCTCGGGATTAAACACTTGTCCGCAGCATAGCCCTAAAAAACCCTTTATTTATGGCCAGGTGGCCTTGCAGGGCAGCCTCATCATGTTCAGATGTCTGCTCATGTTGCCTGAACCTGAGATTCCCATCCAGAGCAGGGAGCAGGAGCTGGAACCCACTGGAACCCACCCAGGAGCACCACTGGCTCCAGGTTCGCTCCTGCTCCAGCCTCAACATCTCTCTTCTGCTGCCAGCAGGGTTTGCTGAGCTTCTTTGGGTCTGACACCAGTTATGCTTGTTCACCAGGGTCTGCCATGTTCCCAGGATTTTGTTTAAGCAAACAAAAGCTATAAAACTTTAATTTAAAAGTTATAAATCTTTAATTTAAAAGTTATTTGAATATTTAGTCACAAAATCAAGTGGGGAATGACTAGGAAATACTTCATTTGAGGCTGTCTCAGAAATATTGGTTGAGCCCACTTGTGCAGCTTGTTCTACTCATCTCATTACCCCAGTCAGGGAACAGCACGGGCAGTGAATAAGATGCAGTATATAAATAGGAATGTTGATTCCTGGCTATAGTTGCAACCATGATAAAAATTCATGGTATTCAAATGTAATAGCAGGCAGGAATAGAATAATTATTGTCTACTACAAAGACCACATTTGGATTGCACAGACCATATTTACTCCAATATATCGCAGAGTTTTTATATTTGCATTGGCAGCCCAATGTTCTTTTAGTTTGTTGGGTTTTTTGTGTGCCTGCAGACTGCACATATGAGATGTCCCTATTTTGCATGTTTTCCCTCTTGGTTAATAGGTTGACTTATGGTAGTGATTTGCTCTGTTACAGGCAAGGGAGGACGTGATCCACATGCTGAAGACAGAGAAAACCAAACCTGAAGTTTTAGAAGCTCATTATGGGTCTGCAGCTCCAGAGAACGTGCTCCGAGTGCTGCACAGGGACGCCATCCTTGCCCAAGAGAAGTCTATAGGGGAAGACGTCTATGAGAAACCAATCTCAGAGGTAACAACTCCTTGATTTACATCTGTATGTCTGTGCTGGGGGAATCCGAACCAGAAGTGAGAGTCTACAGATTTTGGATGTGTGCAAAACACAGGAGAGGATAGCACAGCTTTTTTACACTAAATTGAAGAAAAATTATATATTCTTGTTCACTCCACTGCAGAATAAATTCTAAGAAAAATCACAGGGTTTGAACAGAAACAATAAAGAGCTTGTATAAAGGGCTGGTGCTAATAAACAAGAGCAAAATCTTTGGGTGTTACATTTCTGTTCTTCAAAATCCTTTCAATTTCATGCTTCAACCTCAACTGCTCACAACACTGGTAAGCACTCTTTGATTTCCTTGGAATACTCAACCACTATCATGTGAGTTGTCAGGAAAATACCTTCAGGGATTGACTTCATGGGATCATAAATCCCTAATCATTTAAAGTCACTTAAGCTCTAGGACTGCCAAGTCAGTTCAGCCCCTAAAGGAGACCTGTAGGACTAGAACCCTCAGTTTAAAATCTAAGCAATACATGAACATAGAATAGACCTAGGAATGTCTGAGGCCAGAGTGAACACCAAAAAAAACCAGCCACTGCCCATGTTTATAGTTTCATAACAGTCCAGGACATGAAGAAAGAGCATGCAATAACATACAAGATAATACATGGTTGTGCCTGTCCAAATCTTCATTGTTTGTCCTATTAGAACATTTATTTTTTTCACCAGGAGTTGTGTCTACCACAGGACATCTTTATACTGTGTATTCTCACTGAAGCATCTTCTGGAACTTTTGGGATTACAGTAAATAAGGGAAGCAAATATTAGCATGTGGGAGCAGGCATGAAATACTGTTGAACAAGATTAAAGGAGCTCAATGGGGCTTTTGTTTAAAGAAGCTGAACAGTTAATAGGGACTTCAGTGTAAAACTTGCATCATATGTAGTTATGCTGGAGTTAAAATAGAATTGTGACAAAATTTCATGAGTGCAAAAGGTCTTTTTGCAAAGGCCAAACCTAACCTGGGTCCTTTATAAATTGTGATGACTGTTTTACTTTGACTTCCATGGTCAGCTTCTGGAGAGCAAATTCCCATGCTTTCTTATTTCCTTCAGTTTGCTGAGGTATCCTGTGAAACAGCAACCTCCTGAGGAAGATGCTATTCCTGCAGGATATGGGCTGGGGGTGGGCAGCTCTGCCAGCTGCCACGCTGGGGGCAGGCAAGCAGAGAAGTGGCAAGGCTGGGAGGAGCATGGAGTTTGTCATCTGCACCCAAGAAACAGCAAAAGGAGCAAGATGAATAGCTGTGGTGGTTTTGGAGTGCCCTGCCAAGTTTTCAGACACATCTCCCAGGCCTTAGTGTTTGAATAGTATATTGGCATATTTGGTTCATTAAAAAAACCCAGAAGACAAAAAAGGTAACGTGTTGCTAATGCAGTAAGAGAAATGTCTGTCAAAACACAGGCTGAAGAGAAAAACCTAAAGCTTGTCATAGAATCATAGAGGTTGGAAGGAACCTCTGAAGATCATTGAGTCCAAACCCCCTGCTGCAGCAGGAACACCCAAGGCAGATCACACAGGAACATGTCCTGAATTAATTGTATTTGGTAAGGTAAAACTGAATCTATGGTGAATATAAATAGTTAAGACTTTTTCTCTCAGCAAACCCACATGTGCATCCTGAGCTTACGCTTTATGCTCCACATGTAGGTGTCTAGTTGTCATATAGCTGAGTGAACTCTGGCTCCCAGGGTCTGAGGGCATGTGTCCTGCCCTGACATTTGTTACAGCTTTTCCTGTATGTAACAAGGAAAGTGTGCACAGCAACTTGCCAGAGGGGAAATTCTGCACTGAAAGAATGTGACTCGTTACCCTAAAACTAAGTGAAGTTCTGCCCTTTGCATATTGAGAACTGTGCAAATGTTTATTGCAAACATGCAGCCCAAATAAATCATTACTTTTACAGGATAGTCAATCTTATTTCTAGTCACTGCTTTATGTAAAGCCCAAAACAAAAAATGATGGGACACGATGTTGTTGGTGAATAAATCAGATGAAGTAAGCAAGGGGACTTTTAAAACGGTCTGTTCTCCTTTCCTACAATCCAGCTGGACAGACTTGAAGAAAAGCAGAAGGAGACGTATCGGCGCATGCTGGAACAGCTCCTGCTGGCAGAGAAGTGCCACCGCCGCACAGTTTATGAGCTAGAAAATGAGAAACATAAACATACAGATTACATGAACAAGAGTGATGACTTCACCAACCTCTTGGAGCAGGAGAGAGAGAGGTGAGTAACTGGGATGGTGCTTGCTGGTTCAGCTGTGACATGGTCTGGTATTTTCTCTGTTTAAATAGCACTAAACTCATGTGTAGACCATCTGTAAATGTTGGTCCTCTCATTTTATTCATAAGTGCATTACAGTGGAAAATCTAGAGCTGGAGGAACACCGTTGAATGTTCCTGCAATGTGTGCTTGGATTAAGAAATAAACTTGTTTTGAATTACTCATGCCCATTTTGGGTTCACCTCATGGTAACTTTTGATTAGATGTTATTTATGTTGGCTAAGTTTAGGCTGGCTGGCTTAGCTAAGGGCTGCATTTTGTGAAGGATGGGACACTGTCACAACAGAAGGACAGGGTAAGATAAACCACAACACACATTAGGATATTGGTACACAAGTGGCAGGGACTTGGCCATGCCCTTTGTATTTAGGCTTGCAAAGTCACAAGCCATTTGCATTGTTTTTCATATTTCTGAAGACACATGCCTCAGGCAAGACCTATATTCCTCTGGAAGAAAATACTTTGATAAAACATGCAGTCTCCAATAGGCTATCTGCAGTGTATATCTCACAGGCTCAGATACTCTGTTTTTTTTTCTTCAAGTGTTTGTCCCCTTGTGGGAGTAATTTGTTCTCTGAGTTGCTAAGAAAAGAAAGAGCAACTACCTTAGGTGAAGAATGAAAGAATGAGCACTTAGTAACAGCCTCAGTTTTTCAATATGAAATTTTCACGCTCATACAAAACTGCTTGAAATCAATCTGCAACACTATTTAAAAAAAAAAAAAAAAAAAAGCTCTGAGAAAAATACTTAAGGCAAGTTCAAAGAAGAAATGCTTTTGAGGAAACCACAGTCTGGTGGCAGACATTCACAAAAAGCCAGGAGCTAAATTGTTTTGTGTGTTTCCTGAGCTTGGTTCAGTGTCAGCTTTGAGTAGGTGGCACATGAGACACAGTCACCATATTTCCTAATTTAATAGCTGCTGGTTTTCTGTCTCTGTGTATTCCTGCATTGATTGGCAAACTTTAAAGGACAAAAAATGCTTCTGCATCATAGCAATTTGATTCTCTTAGCTGAAAATAAAAAATGTGTTGTGTTTCCAAGTAAGGAACTATTTCACATCTGATTCTCATAGATGCAGTTTTTTCTCTGTGCTGGATGTCCATGTATGTGTGGACTTGCAGGAAACTAAAATACTGTATTTCCTTTCATTTTACAATTTTTGCTTTTTTATTCCAGTTGAACTCATGAAGGCCACTAAATAGCCTAAGATTATGACTTGTTTTGAACAGACTTCCTTCAATGAATAGATTAAAAAGCTTTCTGTCTCACATTAGTACTGCTGAGGTATCAAGCCTCATCTCTGTGGGCATTTTCTCCTACTCTGCTTGCTCTTTTCTGACATTTAAGTATCAGTGGTTCTACACTCTCCAATTTTTGGATAAACAGCAATAAAAAAAAAAAAGGAAGGAGAATTTGAGTTGAAATGTCTATTGAAAGCAGATCTGTAAGAACAACTAAATCCTCTGGCTTTAGCCAGCAGTGCCTCTGTACTGGTGGCTGCAGGGGAAGAAGTGCGGTGCTCCAGCCCTTTTGATTTATGTTGAGTGACACAAGAAACCTGATGTTTGCTATTTAATCCACTTTGTTTGTCAAAGGCACTAATGAGAAAATTTGTTTCGAGTAGAGAAACCGAGCAGACAAAGGCACTAATGAGAAAATTTGTTTCGAGTTTAGTAACGACCGAGCAGAGAACATGGCATGTAGCTAAACATAGAAAACCAAGCATGCAGGTCCCTCCTTCCTCAGGGTCCTCCTCCCAGATCACTTGCAGAACAGATTAGCAAAATCAGGATGGGCTGAAAACCACTCGTGTGTAGTCTCAAATTATTTCAACTCCTCACCTTTGTTTGCTGAGTGCACATGAAACTGAGGCTGCACCCACATCTTTGTAGGTATTAAAAACTGGAAGTAGTATTGTTTGAGGGATGTATTTATGGAGAAAGAGAGGGTGATGGGATGACTTCTCAGGAAAGCCCCACAATGGCAATCAGCAATAGGTTTTTCTCAAAAAGATTTTGTAGTAGAAAGATTAAGTTGCAATAGGCTGAAACATACAAAAAATCACCTCCATACTCACTTTATCTGTATATTAGAACAGACAACTGGTGTGCTGAAAGGCATTTCTCAGGGTCCTGCCTAGTCATTCTTCTTTTGTAAGTACCACTACATACATTATTTGTTTTACTGTGGTGTGTTGAGGCCTGAGGGTTATTTTATTAAGAGCTGAACAGACTTGTAGTCTCCATGAAAAAGAAAAGCAACATGGAGGTGAACTTTACTAGTCAGCCACTTGGTTGCCCTTGCAGTTATAATGTTAATGAGACAGGGTGAGCTGGAGGAAGAACAGTCCTGTGGGACAGCCATCTCACAGCAGTAGTAATTTCTGTCCCAGTTCTAAGTAATTGAAGCAATTTCTGGCTGCACAGGACTTCACCAATCTTCCCTAAGTATTAAAGTCCACACCAGCTTTTAGAGACCACATCTGCTATAGCTGTCCTGTGAAAGAAAGTTTGAGCAAGATAAGAAATAAAATTGTCTAAGAGCAGAAACATGCCTTGGTTCTAATATATTTCTACCACTTTCTTAATGTATTTACTTTGGAATTTTTTATTTTTTATTTTGCATACACTTTCATACGTTATCTCTAATCCATCCACAACAGCATGATATGAAACCAAATGGTCCCTATGAGGGACTCAATATTAGGTCAGCCTTGCACAGGAAGGAAGTAACAGGAAAACATGGTTTGTCAGGAATAATTATGCATGAAAATTATTTTAAAAAGACAAAATTGTACACAGGGATATTCAAGATGTAGACAGCTAGGAGGGCTAAATGTAGAAAGTTGGAGGGCCTTACTGTTGGTGTTGGCTCTGCAACACCAAGTGCAAAGAAACTGTAGAAGGGTTGTGGAAAGGGTTTGCACATTACAGGAAAAGAGTAATGACAACTGTTTGCTGGACAGGGATGAAAGAAATTGGGTACTTTTAGTGGAAGGTTCTTCTACAGACATAGTGACTGAAGCACTAGTATGCCATAATCATGGCTAAAGATGGGAATGTTAGGGACAGTATTTTCTATTTTTATCATTCAACCAAAATTTGCTCTTACCATGCTTGCTCACCTCAGCCACTGTTCCACTGCTATCAAGTTGTCCTTGGGCATCTCCTCTACTAAAAGCAGCCATCTTCCTCCTGAGGAGGGTGAAGAATAAGGAGAACTCAGAAACCTTCAGTCACAGGCAGTGGAGTAAGGAGTCTCAGGTGTGGCAGGTGGAGAATGAGGGATCTGACTGAAGCTGTGCTGACATCATGGCTTGCAGCGCACACCTGAAGAGCAGGAGACCATGCAGCAAGAGCTGCAGTGATAAAGTTGGTCCTGCCAGCACAGGAACCTTCACAGAATCACGGAATATCAGGGCTTGGAAGGGGCCTCAAAAGATCGCCTAGTCCAAACCCCTGCCAGAGCAGGATCCCCTAGAGTAGCTCACACAGGAATAGTTCTAGGAGGGTTTTGAATGACTCCAGAGATGGAGACTCCACAACCTCTCTGGAGAGCCTGTTCCAGTGCTCTGTCACTCTCACAGTGAAAAAGGTTTTCCTCATGTTTATGTGGAACCTCCTGTGCTCCAGCTTGTACCTGTTGCTCCTTGCCCTATCATTGGACATGACTGAGAAGAGTCTGACTCTGTGCTCCTGATACTCACCCTTTACATATTTATAAACATTAATGAGGTCACCCCTTAGTCTCCTCCAAGCTAAAGAGACCCAGCTCCCTCAGCCTTTCCTCATAAGGGAGATATTCCACTCCCTTAATCATCTTAGTGGCTCTGTGCTGGACTCTTTCAAGCAGTTCCCTGTCCTTGAATTGAGGGGCCCAGAAATGGACACAATATTCCAGATATGGCCTCACCAAGGCAGAATAGAGGGGGAGGAGAACCTCTCTTGACTGACTAACCACACCTTTTCTAATACACCTCAGGATGCCATTGGCCTTCTTGGCCGCAAGGGCACATTGCTGGCTCATGGTCATCCTCCTGTCCACGAGGACCCCCCGCTCTCTTTCCCCTATGCTGCTCTCCAATAGGTCAGTCTCCACCCTATACTGGTACTATTAAAAGCACTGGAAAGCTCTCGTTGATTTTAATGGTTCAGAAACAGGCTTGTGGTGAGGACCACTAAGGCCAGTCCTGCAGGTTGGATGGCAGAAATAGCCCAAAAGCCTTCCAAAATAGGGGGAGGAGGGAATTTCTTGGATATGCATGGGACGTGGTTTGCCAAACAGAGGGTGCAATGTGGCAGAAGGGCTTTGTTGGAGCTCATTAAGGGAGATCTGTGCATCTGCTTTGTGAGTAATTTGATCATTTCCAGCACCATCCCTGAGTCTGCTGTGACTTTTACCCCCACCACACAATATGGCAGTAAATACACACCCAGTATCTAATGTAAGTACACTCTGTCTGAAAGCATCGATGTTATGTTTAGTCCCATTTTATTGTAAGACTTCATTGAAGTGATGAGGATTTTAGATTGGCTCTTGCTTTCCTTACTGCATCTTCAAATTATTCTTTACAACCACAGTGACAGTGTTCCCAGAGCACTGAAGCATTTCACATTTTCCCCAAAGGCAAGGCCCAGGATCCAGCCTGTGCTTCCTAAGCAGTGCCCTGCTAAATCTGGTTTTAGTTAAACCCTCTTTTTGAAGTACATGGCCATAATTAGATCTGCTTAGAGGAGACAGCAGGACTGTGACCCCCAGATCTTTCCTCCACAAAGTTTCCTTTCAGTCTTTGTGTAAAATTGCCTCCTCTCTGCCTCCCCCATCACAGCACCCCCAGCAAGGAATGCACTGGCAGGTCCCTCGGAGGTCTGTGATAATACATTCCTCTCGGCTTCGGTCATCCTGGCACCGAGATGCTCTTGGCTGCTCTGCTGGTGATGTA